TATCATCCTCATCATCATCGTCATCAGCATCATCATCACCAGTATCAGCATCACCATCGTCAGCATCATCATAATCAGCATCATCACCATCATCAACACCAGCATCGTCGCCATCACCAGCACCAGCATCAGCAACATCGTCAACATCAGCATGATCATCATCCGCCTGCTCCTCCCCCTCGTCCCCTCTTCTTTCTCATCCTCGTCCTCATCCTCCTCTCCTCCTCCTCCTCCTTCTCCTCCCCTTCTCATCCTCCTCCTCCACCTCCCCCTTCCTCCGCCTCATCCTCCTCCTCCTCCTCTTCCTCCTCCTCCTCCTCCTCATCCCTCGCCTCCTACTGCCCGTCCTCTTCCTCCTTATCCTCTTCCTTCTCCTCCTCCTCCCTCCTCCTCCCTCCTCCTCCGTGTCTTCTCCTCCTATTCATTCTCCTCCTACTCTTCCTCCTCCTCCTCGTCCGCCTCCTCCCCCTCTTCCTCCTCCTCCTCCTCCTCCTGCCCCTCCTCCTCCTCCCCCCCCTCTTTCTTTCCCCCCCCCCCCTCCTCCTCCCCACCAACTCTCCTGCCCTCCCTTCTCCTCCCTCCTCCTCCTCTCCTCATCCTCCATCCTTCCCTCCTCCTCCTTTCCTCCTCCTCCTCCTCTCATCTCCTCGTCCTCCTCCTCTCTCTCCCTCCTCCTCCTCATTCTTTCATTCGCTTGTTCATGTTTCCTCCTCCTCGCCTCCCTCCTCCCTCCCTCCCCTCCTTCCCCTCCTTTCCCTCCTCCTCCTCCTGCCCCTCCTCCTCCGGCTCCTCCTCCCCCTCCACAATTACACACTATGCAAGGTACTCTCCTCTCTCCCCTGGTGTCGTCCTGGAAATGGCCGCCCCCCCCGCGTACGGTTTCTGTTGCACAGGATTCGCGGGAAGCGGGTTTTCGTGTTTGTTGTTATGGTTAGGTTCTTGTTGAAGCGTTGGCTTCATGTTCAATACACCGCTCGTTTCGAATCGTGCTCCCGCTGCAGCGCTGGCCTCATTTCCGCGCTTCCGCTCGTCCCAAATCGTGTTCACATTGCAGCGCTGACGTCAGTATTTCCAGCAACATGCCACGGCATGGTGTTCGGTCCTTTCAAAAAAACTCCAACATCTAGACACTTGCCCCCCCCGACAAAAGCATTGGAAGTGTTTTCACATTCGGGGTGTATTCGTTAATTGTTTGGGTCGCAGAAGCCCCCCACGTAGGGGCGTAGCCACGCCATGCTATGTCAGGTTCCGCTCGTTCCGAATCGTGTTCCCGTTGCAGCGTTGGCCTAATTTCCGCGTTTCCGTTCGTCCCGAATCGTGCTCCCGCTGCAGCGTTGGCGTCATTAATTCCAGCGCCATGCCACGGCATGATGTTCGGTCTTTTCAAAGAGGCTCCCAAATCTAGAAATTGCCCCCCCGAAAAACCATCGGAAGTGATTCCACATTCGGGGGTGGATCCGTTGATTGTCTGAGTAGCAGAACCCCCCCACACTTAGGGGCGTCGCCACGCCATGCTATGGCAGGTTCCGCTCGTTCCGAATCGTGGTCCCGTTGCAGCGTTGGCCTCATTTCCGCGCTTCCGCTCGTCCCGAATCGTGCTCCCGTTGCAGCGTTGGCGTCATTATTTCCAGCGCCATGCCACGGCATGGTTTTCGGTCCTTCCAACTAATCCCAAGCATCCAGAAAATGGCACCCGAGCAAACCATCGGAAGTGATTCCACATTCGGTGTTGATTCATTGGTTTTTGGGCCGCAGAAGCCCCCCCCCCACTTAGGGGCATCGCCACGCCATGCTATGTCAGACTACGCGTCCTCATTTCCGCGTTTCCGCGTTGTTTTCAAACTGTTGTTCTCGTTGAAGCGCTGGCCTCATTTTCGGGCGACCGCTCGTTCCGAAGCGTGCTCTAGCTGCAGCGTTGGCCTCATTCCGCGCTTCTGCTCGTCCCGAATCGTGTTCCCATTGCAGCGCTGGCGTCATTATTTCCCGTGCCATGCAACGGCATGGTTTTCGGTCCTTCCAATCGGCCCCCAGTTTTAGAAATTGCCCACCGAAACAAACATCCGAACTGTTTACACCTTCGGTGTCGATTCGTTGATTTTTTGGGCCCCAGAAGCCCCCCGCACACTCCACTTTGGGGCGTCGCCACGTTATGCTATGCCATGCTACGCGTTGATATTGTACACCATGCTATGCCATGTACTGCTATGCCATGTTGCGACATCCGATTGTGCGAATAGAAAGGAGATCTACGCCATGATGAGGGATGGGAGGGAGGGGTAGGACGTCAGATATGGCGCGAGCGCACCTAGCTTGTCCTCCTCCTCCCGCTTCCCCCTCGTCCTCCTCATCCCTCCTCCACCTCGTCCTCCTCCTCCTCCTCCTCCTCCTCCTCCTCCTCCTCCTCTTCCTCCTCCTCCTCCTGCCCCTCCTGCTCCTCCCCCTCTTCCTCATCCTCCTCCTCCTCCTCCTTCCTCCTCCTCTCCTCCTCCTCCTCGTCCTCCTCCTCCTCACCTTCCTCCTCCTCCTCCCTCCCCTCCTCCTCCTCCCTCTTGCCTCTTCCTCCTCCTCCTCCTCCCCTCATCCTCATCATCCTCTGCCCCTCATCTCGTCCTCCTCCTCCTCCTCCTCCTCCTCCTCCCTCCTCCCTCCCCCTCCCCCTCCCCCTCCCCCTCCCCTCCCCCCCTCCCGCCCCTCTTCTTCCTCCTCCTCCTCCTCCTCCTCCTCCTCCTCCTCATCATCATCATCCTCCTCCTTCACAATTACTCAATATGAATACTACTCTCCTCCTTCCCCTGATGGCGGGTTGCGAGTGTTCGCCCCTCTCGTATTGTTTTTTACACACAGGATTTCCCGGAGTTGGGTTTTCGCTTGCACTTGTTTTCAAAATGCTGCTCTCGCTGAGGCGCGGGCCTCATTTTCGGGCCCCGCTCGTTCCGAATCGTGCTCCCGCTGCAGCGCTGGCCTCATTTACGCGCTTCCGCTCGTTCCGAATCGTGCTCCCGCTGCAGCGCTGGCCTCATTTCCGTGCTTCCGCTCGTTCCGAATCGTGCTCCCGCCGCAGCGCTGGCCTCATTTCCGCGCTTCCGCTTGTCCCGCTGCAGCGCTGGCGTCATTTCCCGTGCTATGCCACGGCATGCAATGCAATGCTAGTTTGCGTTCCGCTGCGCGATGCCATGCCTTCAGCAGGAGCTGTGATATGCAGTGCTTCAGTGACACGTCGTGCTATGCCATGCTACGGTTTGATCTTCAACGCCATGCTATGCAATGTTATGTTCGGGGCCGCTGTGCGATGCCATGCTTTGCGTTGCAAAGCTTTGTGATGCAATTCTTCACTACGCCACGTCACGCCATGCTGTGACATACTACGCTTTGCGGTGCTCGTCTACGCCATGCCATCCCGTGCCCTACAATGCATCGCGTACCCATTGCCCAGCTCGACATCCGACTGTGCGAGTAGAGAGGGGATCTACGCCATGGTAAGGGATGGGAGGGAGGGGTAGGATGTCAGATATGATGCGAGCGCACCTGGCTTGTCCTCCTCCTCCTCCTCCCCCTCCCCCTCCCCCTCCCCCCCCTCTCCCTTCCCGCCCCCCTCCTGCTGCACCACCTCCTGCCCTCCTCCTCCACAATTACTCAATATGAATACTACTCTCCCTCTTCCCCTGATGACGGTTTGAAAGTGGCCGACCCCCCCGCGTATTTTTTTACACCGGTTTCCCCAGAGTTGGGTTTTCGCCTGCATTTGTTTACAAAATGCTGCTCTCGCTGAGGCGCCGGCCTCATGTTCGGGCCCCGCTCGTTCCGAATCGTGCTCCCGCTGCAGCGCTGGCCTCATTTCCGTGCTTCCGCTCGTTCCGAATCGTGCTCCCGCTGCAGCGCTGGCCTCATTTCCGCGCTTCCGCTCGTTTCGACTCGTGCTCCCGCCGCAGCGCTGGCGTCATTTCCCGTGCCGTGCCACGGCATGCAATGCAATGCTAGGTTGATACTACGCTTTGCGGTGCTCTTCTATGCCATGCCATGCCGCGCTCTACAATGCATCGCGTACCCTTTCGGGATCATTGCCCTGCTCGACATCCACTGAGCGAGTAGAGAGGGAATCTGCGCCATGGAAAGGAGTGGGAGGGAGGGGTAGGATGTCAGATATGACGCGAGCGCACCTAGCTTGTCCTCCTGCCCCTCCTTTTCCTCCCCCTCCCTCCTCCCCCCCTCCCCCTCCTCCTCCTCTTCCTTCTCCTCCTACTCGTCCTCGTCCTCCTTCTTCTCCCCCTCCTCCTTTTCCTCCTCCTCCTCCTCCTCCTCCTCTTCCGCTTCCTCCTCCTCCTCCTCTTCCTCCACCTCCTCCTCCTCCTCCTCCTCCTCCTCCTCCTCCTCCTCCTCCTCCTCCTCCCCTCCCCCTCCTCCTCCTCCTCCTCCTCCTCCTCCTCCTCCTCCTCCTCCTCCTCCTCTTCTCTTCTCTATCCCCCGAAGGAAGGCGGCCTCTTCAAACCATGTTCATTGGAAACCCATGTCAAAAAACATCCTGCGTGTCTCCAGGACGCCCTGGGTTACTCGGGTTTCGATGGTTTTGCTGTGGAGAGCGTGGCGCTCCCACACCAAACACAAGTGGACGCCCTGAGGTCTCAGGGTTGGGTTTCTTGTGGAAGTTTTCTTGTGGACGGGCTCCTACTGTATCCCCATCGCCTATCCAGACCCCCACCGTCTCAGCACCCCAGTTGGGGATATACCCTTCGAAACCCGAAGGAAACTGCCAAACCCATCTGGGGGGGTACATCGGCCAGTGGGGCCCGGGCCTCACCTTTGGGAGCAGGGGTCAGATCGACGATGCTCACGCGTGCAGGAGTGACCCTTCGCTGGAGTGACCTTCGGTGCGGGCCATCAGGGGTCCCGCCAGCACTGGGCAGGCGCGCCTGGACTGCGTTGGCTTGGCCGCCCCCGCGGCCCCCCGGAAGCCGCGCACCGAAGGCCACTCGTGCCCACGGTCTCTCACGCGTGGAGCCGAGGAGAGCCGCGCGGCGGAGCTGGAGCGGCTGGCGGCACAGAGCAGCCAGCTGGTGCGGGAGCTGCGGGAGCTGCAGGAGCTCCTGCCGCAGAGGGCGCGCGAGGGCGCCGCGCCGACGGCGGCGCAGGGGCAGGCGAGCGTCGTGGCTCAGAGGAGGAAGTGGGACCGATACCGCTGCCCTTCATCGTTTTAGGCTTTTGGGGGCCTCCTGGGAGGCCCTCGTCGCCACGGCTGGATTTGCTTGACAGTCCTGGTCAGGATGCACCCGGGCAGCTTGCAGTAGAAGTTGAAGGCGCTTGAGGGAACCCAGCCGTCGGCGGCGCAGGGGCGGGTGAGCGTTGGGCTGCACGTAAGAGTGACCTTTCGCTGGAGTGCCCCTGGGTGCGGGCACACTGGGGCCCCCCGATGACGGAACGCGATGTGATGAGAGCGTCTTGCGCGCTCGGATTTGGCGTCCCCGCGGCCCCGAGAGTTGCGCATCAAAGGCCGGTCCTGCCTAGAGTCACTCGTGCGTGTAGCCGAAGCGTCGTTGTCTGATATCCTACCCCGAACCAACCAACACTCGGGGTCGGTATTGGAGTTCGCTGCGGCGATCGCGGGGGCCACACATCGGGGTAAGCTGTTTGTCAAGGAGTGGCAGGCCCCCTCCCAGCCACCCCGCAGCACCCTGCGATGTAGACGCGGCTCGTCATTAACAATCGGGCGACGAAAAGTTGCCAATGTGTGTCCAACAGGGGCAGTCGTGTGCCCGTTGGCTGGCCCGGGGGGTCGACTGTCACGCAACCCAGGCGGGAGCGGTCGCGCCCTGGACGGCTTCCGGCGAGGCGGTGCCCCACGAGGCGTCGGCGGCGCAGGGCATGCTGCGGGAGCCCCTGCTGTCGAATCCGCGCCGGCTCGCCGCACTGTACAACCTGGTGACGACGAACACGGCGTCCAGCGGTTGCTACTCCTTCTCGGCGAGCACCGACGCGGACGTAAGTTCAGCGACGTGCAAGGACAGCAACCGTTGCCCAATCTGCTTCTTGGCCACGGGGCTGTCGGCTGCAGCCACCCTGAGGATAGGAAAATGCTCGACCGCCTACATTGGCTCCAGCACTCAGCTGTCGAACGCGGTACTTGAGTACACGATCATCAACGCGGACACGACTTACTCCTTGACCGTGGAGGCCCACGCCACCGCGGATTTCTCTGCGTCGGCGGTGTCGACAAAGACACTGTCCCAGTCCGAGAGCACCAGGGCTCTGTGCTACTCTGGTGGATCAGACTATGCAGTTGCCTGCGGCAATTTCCGCCGCCATGCTAGCGCGGCATCGAAATTCATACAGGAAGGTCCTGTTGAGCTCTACAGTACAGGCTTGGTATAACATGTTCAGGCTGTGTGGGATGTATTACTAGGATGACGTAACATGGTATAGTCGATCCGTAGTATGATTGTTGCCTTGTCTTGTGTGCGCGTGTGTGTGTGTGTGTGTTAGTTTGGGCAGGCGGTGCAGTTTTGAAAGCATTGTGGTGTCTTCTCAGTGGCTTCTTTAAGGGCCTCGTGGGGATCCTCTTGGGGGTCTCTTGAGGTCCACTCGGGGGCCTCTTGGTGGCTCTGGATGGCATCTTGGGGGCTTGCCGTCTTTCGCGTGCGATACTCCGATCGTCTCGGGGCTGGGCTGTCTCCTCGCTTGAGCCTCTGCGGCCGCCTTGATGGGCCGACTTTCCACCACCACTATTGTTGGTAGGGGAAGGAGGAGGAGGAGGAGGAGGAGGAGGAGGAGGAGGAGGAGGAGGAGGAGGAGGGGGGAGGAGGAGGAGGGGGAGGAGGAGGAGGAGGAGGAGGAGGAGGAGGAGGAGGGAGGACCTGCGAATGCACCTTTCTCGGTCGGACCCAAGCCGCAGCATGCTGCGGGGGGCCGGTCGCTGTGGCCGGGCCCGCCGCAGCCCGTGGGCGCGCACGCGGCGCGAGGCAGCGTGCCTCGGAAGTGGGCGCCTTGCCTCAGCTCGGAGGCAGGCGACCGCCAGTGCACGACAGGGCCGTCCCCCTCCTCCCTCCGAGGCGGGAGTTTATACACCGCACTCACATCTATACCCCTGGGTGGGTGTATGTGCGGCCGTTTTTGCGCTGTCATGTGCGCGCATGTGCGCGGCATGTGCCAGTCATGTGCCAGGCCTGTGCGGCCCTTCGTGGATGGACTTCCTACTGTGCACGTCGTCCCCTGTACATGACCACCGCCTGGAGGATCAATCTTGGGGGGACCTCGGCAGGAGGTGGATCTGGAAAGATTCGGTCCCCGCCACGTCCACCGCCCGCTGGGGCACCAGGACGTCGGTTCCCAGGCGGTCGACATGGACAAGTCCCCGCGTCGCACCTCCTCCTCCTCCTATCCTACCTGCCGCTGGTAGTGGTGGTGGAACATCGGCCCATCACTACGGGGGCCTCCTGGGCAAGCCCTAAGAAGCCTCTCGCGGCCTTGTGTCGGCCGCTCGGGGCCAGTGCCTGGCTGCCACACCCGCAGCACTCCTGTGGGGCGACCTCCGGCCGCCCTGGGGCCGTCTTGAGGCCGCGGAGAGCACGAGGGAGCAAGAGGTGGGTGTAATCCCGGCGGCTGGTCCGCGTCGTCTTCTCTCGGGAGCCATGCGACGGGGGTCAATACAGACGGGGGTCCGCCAGAGCGCCGGATCTTGCGGTGTCCTGCAGAACCAGGGCTGCGCTGACCCGGGCCAGGGCGCAGGCTCCTGCAGGATCCTGCAGGATTTTGCCAGATGTTCTTGATGCTGATGTCGGGGGCCGATGGTCACCGCCACTGCCCGCGCACCTTTCGACTGGCTTGTGTCACGGCTTGTGTGTGTATGCGTTGGTGGTGTACAAGCAGCGTGTCCCCAGGGACTCCCTCTGCTGTACACAGCCCCCGCTCCGCGGCCTCGTGCCGCACAAGCTTGCTCGTGGGGGTCGTGTGCACAATTCGCGCCCCCTGGAAGGTGTGGATGGAGGGTGGTGGGAGGTCTCTCTCTCTCTCTCTCTCTCTCTCTCTCTTTACCAGGCTGAAGCACGTCCTTGCTCCTGTGCTTGGCATCGCCTTACCTCGATGCCGATCTCATGGAGCGGGGCTCGCTCTCTCTCTCTCTCTCTCGTCTGCTCGGGCATCCTCCTCCTCCTCCTCCTCCTCCTCCTCCCTCCTCCTCCTCCTCCTCCTCCTCCTCCTCCTCCTCCTCCTCCTCCTCCTCCTCCTCCTCCTCCTCCTCCTCCTCCTCCTCCTCCCCCTCCCCCTCCCCCAGGCCGCGGGCGTGGGAGCGCGCGCGGAGGGCGCTGCGCCTCCGCGCACCGCCGCTCCGGGCGCGCTCGCTCGCGCGCGGCCTGCCCGGGCGCAGGGGCGGAGGGGCGGGCCGCTGCGCCGCACGGGCGGCCAGGGCGGGGAGGGGCGGACAGAACCCCCAACAGTGACACGCCGATTAGTGAGTTGTCCGTCTTCGGCTCTCGAGAGGGCGCCGCGGCCGTTATTTTCCAGGCCTGCGCCCGCCAGGTTTGGGCCTCAGGTCGTTTTTTCACTAAGCCACGTTTTACTGAAGGGGGGTCTGTCCATCCCCGAATGGCGGGGAGGGGGGGAAGGGGGAGCGACAGGCGAGGCATCTCTCGAAGAAGAAGAAACGCCATGAGCATAACCTTTTGGCGCTCCGCGCGGATCTCCTGGATCTCAGCTGGACCCGCCTCCCTGGCGCGCGGAGCGCGCCAGGGGCGGCGTCGCAGGCGCCGCCGGGGGGGCCCAGCGCGGATCCAAGGAATCCGCGCGGAGTGTCACAAGTTGATGTTCATGGCGTTTATTCTCTTTCGAGTCTCGGAAACGGATGGCCAGACACCCCGCAGGGAGTGAAAGACCACCCGCCCCGCCAGACACGAATGCCGCTGACCCCTGCCCACCAGTCGAAGCCTGACACCATCAGCTCCGTCCACGCAGCTCCCATCCGAGGGCCCTCCTCCCTCGCGGAGGGGCCAAGGGGGACAGATTCAAGGATTTCGAGCGTTGCCTCCAGCCCTCCTTTTGCCTCTGCTATCGAATGCCGACTGGGACCGCGCGGTGGGGAGGGGTTGTCCCTGGGAAGCGGGGCGATGATGAACTCTGCTTTGCCAGATGGTGGCCGCCACGAGGCTGTGGCCAGAGGGGTGGTCAAGAAGCTACGGCACCAGGTCATCATTTCTGGTGTTTGTTGAACCCTCATCCTGCCGAATCGACTTAAGTCGACTAGCGAAGTTCCCTTCGGGGCCCATTCGTCTGCTCCTCCTCCTTCGCCCTCCTCCTCCTCCTCCTCCTCCTCCCTCCTCCTCCTCCTCCTCCTCCTCCGCCTCCTCCTCCATCTCCTCCATCTCCTCCTCCCCCTCGTCCTCCTCCTCCTCCTCCTACTACTACCACTACCACTACAACTACCACTACCACCTATTACTACTACTAGTACTACTACTACTACTACTACTACTACTACTACTACTACTACTACTACTACTACTACTACTACTACTACTACTACTACTACTACTACTACTACTACACTACTACTATACTACTACTACTACTACTACTACTACTTTACTACTACTACTACTACTACTACTATACTACTCTACTGTACTACTACTACTACTACTATCTACTACTGCATTGTGAAACTAACTATACTACTACTTTTATTCTTACTACTTATACTACTACTACCACTACCATACCACTACACTCTACTTACTACTACTACTACTACTATAGCATACTATACTACTATAGTCTACTTTACTAGCGAGACTAACGACTACGACTTCGACTACGACGGCGGGGACGACGACGACGTCGACGAACGACGACTATACTAATACTGCTCTGCTCGTACTACTACTACTACTACCACTACCACTACCACTACCACTACCATTACCACTACCACTAGACTACTACTACTACTACTACTACTACTACTACGACTACTACTACTACTACTACTACTACTACTACTACTACTACTACTACTACTACTACTATTACTACTACTACTACTACTATCACTCCGACTACTACTACTACTCCGACTACTACTACTACTACTACTACTACTACTACTACTACTACTACTACTACTATTGCTGCTGCTGCTGCTACTACTACTACTACTACTACTACTACTACTACTACTACTACTACTACTACTACTCTACTAATAATTACTACATACTCTACTACTTGACTACTACTACTACTTTATATATACTACTACTATTGCTGCTGCTGCTGCTGCTACTACTACTACTACTACTACGACTACGACTACTACTACTACTACTACTACTACTACTACTACTACTACTACTACTACAACTACTACTACTACGACTACTACTACTACTATTACGACTACTACTACTACTACTACTACTACTACTACTACTACTACTACTACTACTACTACTACTACGACCCCATCCGCGCCACATAAAGTCTCTCAGATCTCGGCGCCGGGCAGCTCTACAATGAGTGCTAGGCTCTCCCCGAGGGGGTTCAGCCTCGCGGAAGGCTTCACAGAGGCCGAACACACGAGGGCGGGGCACCGCCAGAAGGCGGCCCAGAACCCTTCGCCCTAGGGAGCCACGCCCCCCGGGGCAGGACCCGAGCCGGGGGCAGGGACGAAGCGGAACCCCCTCGAGGACCGCCCAGCCCCCCGCCCGCTGACGGCCCGCGCGGGCCGCGAGGCCGATCACACTCTACATCGCATGGGCCTTCATGCCCCCCTCCTGCTGCGCCGAGCAGACATGCTGCGACGTCCGCCCCCGACCCTTCGACACCTCGACCTCCGCGATGGTTACGCCGATCTCCTTCATCTCCCCTGTCGCGCTGAGGGCGGTGAGTATGTCCTCCTCCTCCTCCTCCTCCTCCTCCTCCTCCTTCTGGTCAAGTTCCTGGAGCGAGACACCTTTCATCCCTTCAAGCACCAGCTGGATGCAGTGCTTGTCGAGGTGGTCGGACAGCATCTCTGTACCCATCTTTTCGAAAAGCTGGAAGGGAGCCTTCGTCATCGTCTCCTCTGGCCCGAACTTGGCCATCGACCCCGCGTGTGCTGAAAACTAGGCGAGGTGTGTGATCTCTTCCAAAGGTGGCATGCGAGGAGGACCCCCCCACTTTCGCGAAACAATGTCCACCTTCCTCCTCCTCCTCCTCCTCCTCCTCATCCTCATCCTCTCCCTCATGAGCATCTTCGTCATCCTCTCCCTCCTCCTCCTCCTCCTCCTTCCTCGCCTTCCTCCTCCTCTTCCTCATGGATCATCATCCTCATCCTCATCCTCATCCTCCCTCCTCCTCCTCCTCCTCCTCCTCTTTCTCCTCCTCCTCATCTCTTCCTGATCCTCCTCCTCCTCCCTCTCCTCCTCCTCCTCCTCCTCGTCCTCCTCCTCCTCCTCCTCCTCCTCCTACTGCCCACCCCCGGTGCCGTGTATGGCTTGCCGATGGTTCCCCCCGCGCGGCCCCCCGCGGGCACGGAGAGCCCATCGCCGGCCGGCCAGCGGAGAGGCGCGTGGCTCAGCGCGCTCGGAGCGGGGCGAGCACGAGGAGCCGTCGGAGTCTGCAGGGCGGATGCCCCGAGCGTGATGTCGGGCATGTCCTTCGGCGGGAGGAGTATTCAACAAGGGCGCCCTCGAGGGCGCGAAGTTATTCTCGCTTCGCGCTTCGCGGTTCGGCTCGGATTGCTTCTCGTCCTCCTCTTCTCCCCTGGGAGGCGGCGCGAGAGCGCGAAGTTATTCGCACTTCGCGCTTCGCGCAGCGCGAAGCGCGAATTTAGGAGCCCTTGATTCAAGAATAGTTGATTTAAAAATGATGGGGGCGGTGTTTCGATTGTTGCTCGACCGTTGTCTTTGTTCTGCTTCGTTCGATTCTGTTCGATGACGTTTGATTCTGTCCTCTCTAGGCCTCCCGGATGAGGTCGGAGTAGATAGATGGGGTCGGAGGATCGCGCTGCATCGCCGATGCATCGGCGATGCATCGGCGATGCGGCTCGACGTGGGGCTTAATTTCATTCACGCCGACGTCGTCGATGCATTGCCGACGTCGCCCGATGCGGCGAGATCGTCCGACCCCATCTGCTCGGACCCCATCTAGGAAACCTCCATCCTTCGACAGGAGGAGTATGCACGAATAGCGAAACATAGCCCGGGAACGATGTTTCGACGGTTCCTCGACCGCGTTCTGTGTTTCTGCTTCTGGCTACGTGCAACGTTTCTTCCAAAATCCGCGTGACGGAGGACATGCCCGACCTAGCGCGAGCGAGTGACGTCCGCGCGGGCGCGAGGGTCCAACGCCGATGTGTGGCCGCAGGCGGGGGCGCGAGCAGGGTGGCGTGGGCACCATCGGTGCGGACACGAGCAGCGAGCGCGCGGGCCGCGTGAGCGTGGGCAGAGTGAGCATCGGAGCAAGCTTGATCGGCCTGGGACGGGGCCAGACCTGAACGGTGCTTCTGGCGATTTCGTGGGCCGCTTTCGTTTCGATGTCGTTCTGCGGCAGAGGCGGACTCGAGACAACAGCGAGGGAACACGAAAGCAAAACGAAAACGAAAATCACCGTTTAGGTTCGGCCCTGGAATGAGCATCGGAGCAAGCTTGAGCAGCCTGGAACTCGAAGAAGAAGAATAATAATAATAATAAACGCCACAGACATAAACGTTTGGCGCTCCGCGCGGATCTCTCGGACCCTTCCTGGGCCACCCCGGCGGCGCCTCCGGCGCCGCCCCTGGCGCGCGTCCAGTGCAGATGCAAGAAATCCGCGCGGACCGTCGCAAGCTCATGTGCATGCCGCTTTTCTTCTTCCAGGAACGTTGCGACCGTCCAGACCGTGCGTCAGTCTGCCCGAGGCTGTTGCTGTGAACCGGATGCGGTTCTTTCACCGTTCCACGCTGCAGCCGTTATCCTCAGGAGGGGAGAAAACACACAGACACAATTAATCCTCGATTCCCAGGAAAATATGGGAAAATATGGGGAGTGGGGGGGAAGACAGAAACCCAGAAAATATGGGAAAATATGGGGACTATGTTTATTTGTGTGTATTTATTTGTGTGTCCTAATTTCCCTTTATCCATGCTGTGTAATACGCCTCCGCGTGCAAAGGGCACGGTGGCGTATCTGTACTTCCAGCAGGCGTGAGGCGTGAGGTGACGGCGCGTCAGTGCTGCGAGCCTTCGCATACGCCTTACCGTCCCATCTCGGGCCGGGCGAAAGGGGGGGATTGGGAAAGGGGGGGTTACGAAATTTGCTGCATGCAGCTGGTTTCGGCCTCACCGAGGGGGCCATTCCTCGATACATAGCCGCCCCCGGCGCCGGGAGGCGCCGGGAAAGTCAGCTACGTGAGCTGATTCTCAAACCCCCCCTTGTGCTTATCCACCCCTTTCGCCCGACCCTCGGAGCCCGACCCGATTACCGTCCCATCTCTTGTATACCTTGCTCATGTCGCTCCTTCAGGTCCTTCAGGACCTCCCCACTGACTGTGTGATCTTGCAGTGGGAGATGGCATTGGCGCAGCTCGGCGCCGATCTCGGTGAGAGCCTGGTGCCCCGAGCATCGATATTCACACGGAGATCTCGACAGCCGTTTTGTGAGGAAGCGTCCGTGGACGCTTCACCCAGTGATTTGCGCCCAGGCCATGGGCCTACTTGCACGGCCTTTCGGGCCGCAAGTTTGCCACATGATGTGCAGTACTTTCAGCGCCGCAACCATCCGCCCCCCCCTCAGCAGGAGCGATGGCGGCGGAGGGAGGTTCAAGGGCAAACGAGTGGGAATGCAACACGAAGTGGGATCAGGTTGCCAGCGCTCCACTCGCTTTTGCAGCCGCGTTTCGCTGCTCTGAGTTGCGTTCCTTCAGCACTGGCCGCTGTTTTGTTTCACTGCTGTCTCGGAATCGCAGTCATGCTTCGCTCGCATGATCCTCCATTCCATCTTTGAGGACTGCGCGAGACCTTCCAGTGATCGGGCCTGAGCCAGCTCTTTTCCTTGTGGATTGGCCATATACAGGAAGCTTGTCTTTCTCACGGGTGTCATGTGCTTGCAAGGAATTTGCTCGATGCAAGGGTCGAAGTCTCGACGTCGCTTCCACTCGTTCTCTAGCTCTCCCGCAATAAATGCGGCGCGCACTTTGACTCGCGAGACTCAGCGGCTACGGTGGCTGCATGCGTACTGGCACACGGGCTCGAGAAAATGGTGGCCTTCATCCAAAAACGGTGTTCGAAGTCAAATGACGGGTTTTTGCAGTCAGAACCGGTTTTTTGAATCCAAAGAGCGGGTCGCGGTGCGAGATCGCGAGGATGACCGCGCGTCGTGCACGGCGCGGAGCGCAGCAGGCAGCCGGGCGATGCACGGCCAGGGCGACCCCGATAAAAGGAAGGGCGGAGGAGGAGGAGGAGGAGGAGGAGGAGGAGGAGGAGGAGGAGGAGGAGGAGAAGGAGGAGGAGAGAAAGAGGGAGGAGGGGGAGGGAGGAGGAGGAGGAGGAGGAGGAGGAGACCCCGACAATAGGCAAATGGGCGGTGGCGGGTTCGGAGCGTAGGGCTCGAGCTTGGCGCCCCGCCATGGAGAAGCTGGGGACCGGCAGGTGGCGGGCTTTTTGTATGCCGAGGTCGCCGTAGCCGGAGAAGCCCCCTTGCGTTCCCCCTGTGGTGCCCGCCGCTGCCGCACGGATGTTTCCTCCTTCTCTCCTCCTCCTACTCCTCCTCCTCCTCCTCCTCCTCCTCCTCCTCCTCCTCCTGGGCGATTCGGGCGAAGAGAACTATGCACATGCACCGATCCTGGCAAGGCCCATTTTTGGCCCAGGATCGGTGCATGTGCCTTCCTGGCCAAGGCAGGAGGGCGCATGCACCGATCCTGGGCTCAGGATGGGCCTGGCCAGAATCGGTGCATGTGCATAGTTCTTTTCCCTCTAGCGATGTTCCCCCCCCCCAGCCCCCGACATCTCGACGAAGGCTGCGAAGCCGCTCGGGAAGGGGAGGGCAGCCCTTGGATATATACCCCGGGGGGGCGGTTCGGAGGCACCCCCATCTCGAGGGTGGGCGCCCCCCCATCGTATATATCCCAGGGCTGGGCCCTGTTTTTCTGGCCCAGTCGGCAGCACCACGATCGGGCGAAGAGAACTATGCACATGCACTGATCCTGGCAATGCCCATCCTTGACCCAGGATCGGTGCATATGCCTTCCTGGCCAAGGTCGGAGGGCGTATGCACCGATCATGGGCTCAGGATGGGCCTGGTCAGAATCGGTGCATGTGCATAGTTCTCTTTCCTCTACACGAAGCCTGGGATAGGGGTCGACACTCGTGGAGTCCCAAATCCGGATAGCGGAGCGCCAGAACGGCCTGCCAAAGGCCTCTGGAGGGAATTCCAGAAGGTCGTTGGAGGAGCTTCCGAAGGAGCTTCTGGAGAGCCTCTAGGCACACGTGTTGGGAAACGAGAAGGAAAGGCCTCTCGGGACAAGTTGCAGGGTCACACAGCCCGAGAACATCGCGAAGTTTGGTGATCGTTTTCTTATTCCTGGTTTTGCCGATCGGCGCGGGCCCTCGCATGCCCCCCCTCCCCCCCCCCATGGCGTGCATCTTGGTTGTGTCTGGCGCCTGTTCCAGGCAGGTGGGGTTCCCCTTCCGCCCAACGTCGACACGCCGAAGAAGAAAACGTTCACCTGCGACAGGGTTCGACATACACCTTAGGCGATGCTTAAGAAAACTTAAGTTTTCGGCCAGAGTCTCGATTATTCTTAATGTTTCAATGTAAATCCTAAGATGTGAATGGAAATGTAGGGTTTTTATTCAATTTCTGAGACTATGAATTTCTTAACCCATGATTTCTTAAGCATTTCGCAGGGTGTACCCCCCGTTCCTGTGGCGACCTGCAGAGGGTCGCGCTCTGGGCGCGGCAGGCCGGGCGGAGGAAATGGCCATCGGGAGCCGCGGGGCCGGCGGGCGGCCAGGGTTAAAGTCGGGCATGTCCCTCTACAGGCGGAGAACTCAAACATTCGGGGGTGGACAGAACCCCCAACAGTGACACGTCGATTAGTGAATTGTCCGTTTTCGGTTCTCGAGAGGGCGCCGCGGCCGTCATTTTCCAGGCTTGCGCCCGCCAGGTTTGGGCCTCAGGTCGTTTTCACTAAACCACGTTTTACTAAAGGGAGGTCTGTCCATCCCCGAAACATGGTTAAAAAAATAGTCTGGAGACGATGTTTCCATTCTTTGTTTGACACTTTGTTTGCCTATCTTCCATTTTTCCTCCCATATCTGACTGTAGGGGGACATGCCCGACCGAAGGCCAGGGGCACGACTCCGGGCGCTGCGACGGAGAAGCGGTTCCAGGGTTTCTAGGCCTTCCAAATGGGGTCCGAGTAGATCGGAGGGGGGAGATGCGATATGAATATCACTAGGGGGTTGTTGGGGGATCTTGAGGTCATCTTGGGGCTCTTTGGGGGGCCTTGGGGCCATCTTTGGGCCCTCTTGGATCCCTCTTGGGCGCCTCTATGTAGCCCTGGAGGGGCATCTTGGAAGCCATCGCTCAACCGGGGGGTGGTCCTCGATTTGCCGTGTCCCGCGGGGGGAATGGCCATGAGCCGCGGGCCTGGCGGGCGGCCTCGCGGGCCTGGCGGGCGGCCAGGGGTCAGACTCTGGGCGCTGCGACGGAAAAGTGTGTCCAGGGCTTCCGGGCCTCCCAGATAGGGGTCCGAGTAGATGTAAGTCGGGCCTGTCCCTCTACAGGAGGAGTATTCTCTTGCACAGGGTGCCTAGAGCTCCGACCATTCTATTCCGCGTCGCACCCCCCCCCCGCGTCCCCAGCGCCAGAGTGGGACCCCCGCGCCGTGGCTCTCTGCCCCGAGCCCCCCGCGTCCCCAGCGCCCCAGCGGGAGCCCCGCCCACTCCCCCCTCCGCCACGAACGCTTTATTCCGCATCGCTCCCCCCCCCCCCGCGTCCCCAGCGCCAGAGTGGGACCCCCGCGCCGTGGCTCTCTGCCCCGAGCCCCCCGCGTCCCCAGCGCCCCAGCGGAAGCCCGGCCCACTGCCCCCTCCGCCACGAACGCTTTACTCCGCGTCGCACCCCCCTCCCGCGTCCCCAGCGCCAGAGTGGGACCCAGGCCGTTGGCTCTCTGCCCCGGAGCCCCCCCGCGTCCCCAGCGCCCCAGCGGAAGCCCCGCCCACTGCCCCCTCCTCCACGAACGCTTTATTCACCGTCGCGACGCACACCACCTCCCCCACCTTTCTCCCCGCGTCCCCAGCGCACCAGTGGGGGCTCCGCCCCGTGCCCCCTCCGCCCCGACAATTTTATTCCGCGTCGCGACTCACACCACCTCCCCCGCGTCCCCGCGCCCCAGTTGGACCCCCGCCCCGTGGCCCTCTGCCCCAAGCCCCGCCCAGTGCCCCCTCCTCCCCGCCCCGTGCCCCCTCCGCTCCGAGCACTTTATTCCGCGTCGCGAAGCACACCACCTCCCCCCCCCTCCCTACCTGGGATTTGGGTCCCGTTGCTGGGCCCCGATGGGCGATGTCTTGCCCCATCTTCCACCCTCCTCCTCCTCCTCCTCCTCCTCCTCCACCTCCTCCTCCCCCTTCCTTTTTGTGCAAGAGCCATGGCACACGTGCCACATGTTTAAAAATAGTCGTGACATAGTATGGGAATGATCTTTTGAGTATTCTGGGGCATTTTTGAATATGTTTTGAGTATTCTGAATTTTCCATCCAAAGTCCGCATGTAGTGGGACACGCCCGACCTGATTCTAGGCCTCCCAGAGGGGGTCCGAGTAGACCGGAGGGGGGAGATGCCACGCAAACACCACCAGGGGATCCACCTCCAGCGAGGAGGTCCACGATGCCCCCCCGAGCTGGAGGTTGAGGTTGCCTCGAGCGAGAGGGGGGACCACACCACAAGGGAAACCCCCTTGCCTCCTCGCATCTCCTGGCCCTGGTGGCGTTGGTGGCGCATTTCCTTGTTCCTAGTAGATGGGGTCAGAGGAGCGCTCCGCATTGCCGATGCATCGGCGACGCGGCTCGATGCGGAGCCTGAGTTGCGCCGCGCTGGCGCCGCCGATGCTCTGCCGACGTCACTGATTCGTCGCTGATGCATCACTGATGCATTGGTGATGCATCGACCGTGCGACGCGATCCTCCGACCCCATCTACCCGGACTCC